CTCTTCACATTTTTAGAATACGCATAGTGCGAAGATGTCTTTGAAACTTTCAGTATTTCTAAAAAAAATCATTTTGACAGACTGCTATGCAAAGCGTACAGATCGGATTAACGGGTAAATTTCCGCTTTGGAAAGTGGTGACACAGAGTTCCCCACGTCGTATGGATAGTAAAACACGACGAACGGATAGGGTTACGGTTACGTCTACATTGCTTTGTAGTGTAGTGTTGATTGTTTCGGTCGAAACTTTGACAATGAGCTCAATGTATTGCAAGCTTTACGATTTCATGTTCCGATATTATCAACTTTGACCTTGGGTGGAGTGGGCAATGTAGGGGCCTACCTGTACTGGACGTAGTGCTGGAATGCTGAGTCAGTTACTTGTGGTCCGGGCAGTTGCTGGATCTAGTTCTTTCGAACGGATCTCTTGTCTGAACAGGCTGTGGGATTTTTTATAACTTAGATCTACTCTACTGATCTATATCTAATCGACTGACAAACAACCCCTACCCTTATTCACCCCCCCCCTAGGCTATTCATTTGTCATGTCATAGCTTTCATTTTCCTCTGCTCCAGACTCTCTTCATCTTCATTCTTTTCTGTTTGCTTGTTGGTTTTGTCTATCCCAATCCATTTCTGTCTTTAGAGGTTTTTCAAACATTATGGGGCTAAATGGGGACATTGGACTATTACTATTATGAACTACAGTGTTATTTTGGTACTTTCAAAATTTCCTTGCCCACCTAGCTCTGTTCAGGTGATTGGCGGGTGCTGTAGTTTGCTTTGCTCCTTCTTTCCTGTGAAACATCTATCGTCCTGATCTCTCCTACTTCTTTTCTGTGTTTGTTACTGTCTTGTAACACCTCTAATACTCGCACTTTTATGTCCTTATATATTGTGTTGCAAGTGCTGTAAAACTCTTACTAAAACTAACTCTGTTCCCCTCCCCCAATCCCTTCCTTTCCAGCAAAACTTCGAAGAGGCAGAACGTTACTACCTGAAAGCTTTGAGCCTTGAACCGGACAACGAGCTGTGTGCTGCCAACTTACAAAAACTGCGGAAAGTTTGGAAGAAATCTTCAGACTCTCTGGCTAAGACGTAACATCGATAATACCCCTCCCCCCTTTTCATTTTTTAAACCTTTCTCACAATTGCATTGTTGTGATGAATCATACCTTATACGATCATCGTGTCTGCATGCTATGATGGGATGTGGAAACTTTGGAAACCTTGAGAATTTCCCTACCAATGAGATTCAAGCCTCAAAACGACTGTGAGATACATGTCCAAATCATAGACTAGAATTCCTAAACTGACACTGTCATCGCCACCGTGATCTTTCGCTCTACTCTTGGTAGAAGCTTTGCTGTGGATGTTCGTACCATGGGACATGGCGCTGTTACGCCCTAATGAAGAGCGAAAAACAGTCTACAGAGGAATGAAGCTGATGTGTCGCCTGAGTGCGGAGGAAGAAGAGTTTTGTTTTAGTAAGAGTTTTACGGCACTTGCAACACAATAAGGTCATATAAGTTCCGAAGATTAGAGGTGTTACAAGAGAGTAACAAACCCACAAAAGGAGGAGAGATCAGGATGGTAGATGTTTGATAGGAAAGAAGGAGCAAACGACACCAGAGCATCCGCCAACCACCCATGGAAGAAGAGTGACTGTGAAACGTAGACAGAGACATCATACAGCTGGGAGGAAAGTTACACACAGGACAGTGACACGATGAGACAGTCATATCGTCACGCTCATGAGATAAATGCTTAAGTTATTTTTAGCTGTTTTGGGATGATGAGAAAAAACCCCCAACAAAACAACCTGTTTCTTTCGAATAATTGACTCTATGAAAAGCTTGAATTTTGGTGCGCTCAATTTTATATTTGGATAATTTTTTTGTCCAAGTAAACTATATTGTCAAACTGGCTCTGCCCTTCATTTCAGTACCAAAAACTCCAAACCGGCCAAAAATAACTTAGGCAATTACTTTATAATGAGTGTAATGATATGACTCATTATGAACAGATCATTCGCCCAGGGAGTTTAAAATTCTTCTTATAATATATGACATGTATAAATAGAACATTGAAACTTCCCCCATCCCCTTTTCCCCTCACATTAACACTCCCCCCCCCCCTCACTAAGCAAAGGGGATCCCCCCCTGGGACCCCACCTCCCACATTGCAAAGGGGAACCCCCCGAAACCCCCCCCCCCCCCACCGACACCCGCCAGAAACCAGTCTTTTTGTAGACTGCAAATAATATATTTACGGTAAGCTTGTCACGTAATTACATGTAGTTCTACATACACAATCATAAAACCTGCATTTATACTCAAGTATTTGGCGTGCGCTGTGCTTTGATGATTTTGTTTAGCTGTACACAGGTTGCATAGCCTCACCTCTGCAAAGACTATCGCTCTATAGAACACTTCAGTATTACATTTAATTCATAGTGAAGTAGCATACTCATATTTCAGGTTACACATTTTTAAATGTACACGTATACATTTCCTGTAAACATATTTTTTAGCCTTTCTTTTGCAACCGATATTTTATGTATACACGTACACCTACCTATCACTAAGATCCACGAAATATGTACGTAAAATTATTCTTATTATATATGTATTCACTGGATAATTAAAACTTATCCACGAGGAGATTTTCTGATTAAAGAGATACCCCAGGAACGTCTTGCTCTCACTGTAAAAACAGAAGGCAAATAAGGCAGAGGCAGACTAAGAATAAATGATTACTTTAGGAAACTTGATAAGGTGTGTGTGTGACGGGAGAAGACAAGGATGATGATAGAAGCTTTTTGAGATCATCTGAACAGAGAAGTGAGGGGTGAATCAAGACTGCCGATGTCTGTAGCATAAGACCTGACATTAGAAGAAGAATGAGGAGGAGGAGGAGGAGGAGGAGGAGGAGGAGGAGGAGGAGGAGGAGGAGGAGGATTTGAAGAAGAAGAAGAAGAAGAAGAAGAAGAAGAAGAAGAAGAAGAAGAAGAAGAAGAAGAAGAAGAAGAAGAAGAAGAAGAAGAAGAGGAAGAGGAAGAAGAAGAAGAAGAAGAAAAAGAAGAAGAGGAGGAGGAGGAGGAGGAGGAGGAGGAGAAGGAGAAGAAGAAGAAGAAGAAGAAAAAGAGAGGAGCGAAAGCAGGAGGAATAGGGAGAGATTCCTCGAGATTTTAGTCAGTTGTAATGTGCCAGAGACATTCAGCCAGATACATTGTACCTTTCTTAGACGTTTTTATTTGATCAATGTGTAATAGCTACGGCCACAGCAAATCTCAAAGTGCCATGTCATGTAGTAAGTGGAGGTTCTAACTCCTTTGATCAATCATGTGTTCTGCCTCATTTCTTCAATCATGTTTTCTATCTTTTTCATTAAATCATGCGTTTTGTCAAGTCAATTAAGTCACGTGTTCTGTCGAACTCTTTCAACTTCAATCAATCACGTACCCCGTCTATTTCATTAAATTATGTGTTCTGTCTTTTTACGCTGAATCATGTTTTCTTTCCTTTTCATTAAATCATGTGGTGTGTCTATTCCACGTTTTCTGTTTCTCTCCTTTAATCATGTACTCCGTCTATTTAATTAAATCATGTGCATATAATATTCTGTCCATTCCATTTAATCATGTCTGTCTAATTCCTTCCATAATGTATTCTGTCTTTTTCATTAGTGTTGTGTCTTTTCTATAAAATCATATAATTTTCTGTCCAAATCCTTCAATCACGTAATTCACGTATTCTGATTTGTCTTTTCCATTAAACCATGTTTTCCATCTATTCCATTAAGTTGTACGTTCTGATGATGGTATAATTATAATTCGTTCAATCATCGATCATGTATTCTGCTCAACCATGACGTCATTGTGTTCCCTGTAGTTTGTAATACATCTGTCCCCGCGGTTTTATGCCCAAAAAAATTCTGAAATTATGCAAACTGGGGCCAAAAATGTGAAATTACACGATTCTGTTAATTTTAACAAAGAATGATAAAGGAAAATAATCAGAAATTATTCAAAAAATGATCAAATTTAGCTAAATTATTCGGGGTGCATAAAACCACGGGGACAGTAATACCTTCAATCGTGTATTTCTTCTGCCTCTTCCATTCAGTCATCAGTTGAGGTAAGCTACAGTAGCTCAGACTATCACGAGAATACCTGACAAACTACACAGTAGGCCATATATATGTACCCGTGAGACGGAGGCTTGATGAATGAGGTCACGCATGAGTCTGCGTGAGTGTGCATGTGTACTGTATATGGGTATGTGTATATTGTGTGAGTGAGTATATGTATGCATATGTGTATATATGTGTAAATGTGTGTGTATATATGTGTGTGTGTGTGTGTGTGTGTGTTTGTATATGTGTAAATGTGTGTGTGTGTGTGTGTGTGTGTGTGTGTGTGTGTGTGTGT